AAAGCAAAGGAATCAAGAGATATGTGTACAAATAAGTGAGAGAAACTGTAGAGAGATTCCTCTAGATGAAAGTGAATAGCAACAGCAGAGTTTAACTACTGAGTACCAACCACATTTTTGTAAAGATATCAAAATAGGAATAATCAGCCAGAAAAATCTAACTTAAACAAGTCTGCTCACCTTTTCTTTCTTTGAAGATGTCAGCCATACATATGCAAAATACAACAGGTGTGTAGTGGGCCTGTGAATACAATCACTATTTCAATAGATATTCTTTCATTCATTCTAAGCCTCAGATGAAGAGTCGAATTTCCTCACATGGATCTAATATTTGTGTGTAGGTTTTGGGTTTGTTTTTAAACTCTGACCCCTTTTCATTTTACTTTTTACCTTCTGTTATCTTGAGACACACTCCCCCTCCCCCAGTACTAGATTGGCAGAAAGGTCTCATCATTTTACAGTTGAAATGGCTAGATGTAACCATAATTTCTATGCTAACATTTTTTTTTTTCTTGCACTTCTCACTTGTGGAAATCTCTTCCAGTTTCTTGCTTTCCAGCCAACTTTGATCTTCAAAAATTTAAATGCAATGACAATCGTTAACTTATCTCTTCTTAATTCCTGTTCTTTTATTGTTCTCTCACGTTAATAATGTTTTATTTTTATCATTCCTTCACGCTCAATAAGCCATTGTGCCTTAGTGGCTTTATTGCCTTGCTTGGGGTGAAATGATTAAAAAAAAAAGAAAAATGTTAAAAGAAATCTACTACAGAAGTAATAATGTTAATCTGGAATAAAGAAAATGTAGCAACATCTTCAAAACCTTTAAAATTATACAAGTTTGTAATAAATGAAGAATTTAATAATAGAGAAATAACTTCAATAGATAATATTCCCTTTCAAATCTATCCTCTCCCAATTCTTTCAGTGATTATTTTAAAAATGGACAATTACAAAGTCAAATAATTAAAAGCAAAAGATATTTTGAAAAAGATATCTCTTCATATTGTAAAGAAGTTCCATTTTTTACAACTTCTTACCCAAAATTGTTACTTTATGGAAAAGACTCCTGAGAAGATGCTTCTCCAATCACTACAATCTTAACCTTTTCAAGTTTAGGGATCAACTTTTATCTATCCTACATATCCCCATAATCTGCACTTACTCCTTCTTTGCCCACACAACAACTTCATTCAGTAATTCTTTGCCTTGACTGGCTCTTGAGTGAACATTAAATTAAAAAAAAAAATTTTAAAGTTAATGTTTGGAAAACTATCCAATACCTACAGCTCTAATAAAAAAGAGATGAAAATTTCAATCAATGACTAAAAATAGAGAGAAATATAAAAAGTGCAAGACACTATCATTTGGTCGTCTCTTATAACCAAACAGAGAACATCTTTTTCACAGATGTTCAGTATTAACTAAAAACTTTTGTCCAAGGTAAAACGCAGATGGCCATCATTTTACAAGATAAATTTATTAGATGGGGGGAGGTGGCATTCTCCTCAGACCTTTTACTTAAGCTCCACTTATTATGGGTAGCTGAAGATTAACTGACCTTTAACTTTTATCTCGCATTACACATCTTTTTGCCTAAGGATAAAACTTAGAAATAATGAATAGCAGAAAGAGGGGGCAGGCAAAGGTGGGTGGGAATGGGGGGGAGGGAGAGAGAGAGAGAGAGAAGTCGGAATGCATGAAACAAACAACAACAAAGAGAGAACAAAAACAGATTACAAAGAGAAAAATTAAAAAGATGTGTCAATACAAAAAACAAGTGTCAAAAGATTTAAGCAAAGAGATTTAGGAAAGGTTAGAGAAATATGAATAAAGGGAAAGACTAAAGGAAAAACATTGATACATGTGAAAGAAGCACAAAAACCAGGAGCAGAGGAAGGGGGAAATTTCAATGTACGTTAGAAATCAAAAATACATAATACCAGAAATTTATGCACATGTAAAAAAATAGAATAAAAATATAGAAATAAAAAAAATTAAGTCTACAAAAAAAAATTTTCCCCTTTTAAACTGACACTGAAATACACAATTCATTGTTTTGATTGAAAAGAAATACCTATATTGTAGGAACCATATAAATAATACAAATACCAAATTGATTAATTTCTTTACAATTTACTTGATAACAAGCAACCATGTTTGATTTTTTTTTTTTTAACTGCCTTGCATTCCTGGGAAAGATAGTGGTGTAGTTTCTCTCATTGTCAATGCACTTAAAACAGTCACCACAAAAGCCATGTGCAGCAGTGAGAATACTTCTGTTACAAAAGTGTTTAAACAAATTAAAAATGTTTTCCAATGTATCAACTTTCTAGTGCTATTAGCATTCAGAAAAAAAAAGTTTTTTTTTATTTATTGATACAACTAGTTTTCATTTTTTCAGATTATAAACAAATGCTTAAATGTTGTATAACCATTTTAAAAATCAGTCTTCATACTAGTGTTAGTTATCAAACTTTTTACATCTAACATACATATTTCTAGTAGTTTCTGTTTTAGTCATTAGAGTTTTGATACTTTGAAGAATTATACACAAGTCCACTTGACAATCGACTTTTGTCATGAGCAAAAAAGAAAATCAAAGAAATCAAACTTAATTTCTGTGGGAGAAAGAACCACCCACTTCCACCACCCACAACTCTTAACAGCAGCAAATGGAAAGAAGAAAAAAACATTTGCAGTTATTAATGCAACAATTGAAAAATTTCAAGTAATGAAAGATGTTAACAACTGAATTTCTAATCTAATTCCTTCCTTGAACATATAAGTTTTCTTTTTCTTCCACTTCCTATTTAGAGATTCTAAAATGGGCAAAAAAAGGGTGGAATTTGCTCTATGTTCATCAAAATCTTAAGGTAACTGGACAGTCTTGCTGAAAAAAAAAAATAAATAAATTCCAGATACAAATATCCACTGATGTTCAATATTCCATATAATAAACTCCAAGCAGTAAAGCAGAGAGTCAAAAATAAAGTTCACATTATAACATTTATTTCTCATCTTGCCATTTTGTGCATGTATTGGAGACAAATATCTACTTAATCATTCAGAATTTCCCACATGACAAAATTGTTCTTTTTGTAAAAAGGTCAAGATTAAATCATTTCATTCACATAGTAACCGACCTTGCATGGGGAAAGGATGTAGTGCCAGAGATATCCTTTTTTTTTTATATGTTTTTAAAAAATGGTTGTCAGTCACTAATGGAAGTCAGCAAGAGATTTCAGACAAACAAAACATCTTGAATTATTCACGACAAAAGAAACACAATTTGAAAACATGGAATGTTTGGCTCAGTTGTCCCTTCTGACCTTAACTGAAATCAAGGTAACTATAATCTTTTTGTTTATTGGTTAGCCTTTGCTATAGAACCTACTTTGACACCAATACCTAAAATGACAGACAGCGTTCTACTTTGGCTGTTTATCAACAACAGCCAGGGGTGGGTGAAAAGAGAGAGAGAGAGAGAGGAAAGCAAGTGGAGTTCTTCTACGGAAGACTGGCGCACTATTTATTGTGTTAACTAGCAAAGCAAAGAAATATTAAATAGTTTTCTAACACAACTACATAATCTATATTGTGTCAAGTAGTTTTATTACAATAACAGAGTTGTCTGATAAATAGCAGCTGAAGTGTATTTTTTTTTTCATTTATGAATCCAGAGATTCCATGAATATTTTACTTGTAAGTGATTTGGAAAATACTTATCTAAGCTGGGGGGAAGGTTTAGTTATAAATCCTCAAAGCATAACAGACACACACACACACATTGTGTGTGTGTGTGTATATATATATATATATATATATATATAAAAAAAGGGAAAGATTATACTTGTTCCGAGAGAAAAGAGTATCTTTTAAAGAAAAAAAGCTGCCACAACGTTTTTGGTTATTAAATTTTTTTATATATTATACTTTATTTTTTATATTTTTTGCTACATGAGTTTTGGGTCTTTGACCTTCATCAGGCAAAGAATGGTTATTTCCACATATTATACTTTATTTTCTATGAGTTTGGATTACAAGTACACACAAAAGACAATGGTCAAAAGACTTGACATAAGAAAAAATATAGAAAATAAAGTATAATATATAAAAAAAAATCCACATTATAACCAAAAATGTTTGGGGTTTCTTCTCTCTTTAATCTATATATGTGTGTGTGTGTATGCATGTGTGGGTGAGTAAAAACAAAAAACCAATGCATTTCATCCCATAAGGGACTTCAAGTTAAACCTAAAGATTTTATTTCACATTATAAACAAGTAAAAATACTGATAGATTATAAAAATGTTTGAATTTAAGAATGTTATAAAATGTAAAGTAAACTAAGTAAAAAGTAAACTGTAGAAGATGCTAAGTGATGTAATACCTGACAAACAGAAGGGAATAAATGCTGCTGTTGAAGTCTGACAAAGTCCCTCAGTGGACAAAACATGTTGGTAAAGAAATGTTTTCCTTTTGTCTTTATTCATACTGTCTTTTATATATATATATATTACACACATACAAGTTAAGATAAGTATATTTAATTATGATACAACATGTAAACTATGAAACAAAACCTCCAGAAATTGTGTTAAAATCAATCAATTGGAGCGATCTTCCCATTCAAGAATTTAGAAACCTGAAACTTTGCATAGAAAGGACTTTAATTGGAATTTATGAATTATCCAGGAAAAAAATAATGATACATGAAACAACTTTAGGGCTGAATTAAATTTGAGTGGAAGTTTATTTGCTTGATAGTGTTCCAAAATGGCTGAAAATTATTAATCTCCGAATTAGTAGATAAGTGTGGCAAATGATTTTGTAATTTGAAACATGTTTACATTTCTTCTCATCAAATCAATGGTAAATAAATTTGCCACTTGAAATCTTAAAAATGAACCCTTGTTTTGGTCAACAACCAATCTAGAATGTCAACAATCGAGGGTACTCTCACACACAGATTTTAGACACAGAAAAGTGTTACTTACCCTTCTTGAATGCAATTACTAACATTCTTAGCCAGCTTGGTAAGCAATTTGCTATAATTCTCTTCCACATTACAGCTACCAAAGAAATTAAAAATAAGTTATAGATCACAACTTATTCAAGAGACAAAAAAAAAATAAATAAATAAATAAAAATGATTATATATAGCTGAAGAGGTGCTGAAAAATTCCTTATATTAGTATTTCAATAATCAAAATATCCATTTCAGGAAGTGGGTCAATCCCATATCTTTTCAGCAGCCCCTCAGATATAAATTAATTTTTGTCATTATTCAACAACTTTAACAAATCAGTCAATAATAATAATATCAGAAGTAGTAGGTATTGTAAGGTGTGTTTTTTTTATTATTTAAAAGATAAGTTAAATAAAATCTGGTTTTTCAATCTGTTTTTAAATTTCTGCAAAAACGGGGGAAAACTGTAGACCAAATTAATAGTTAGTAGTGAAAATATATATATCAAATTACCCTACCACAAACATGCCCAAACCCCAGAGAGTATTTGTCAGCCTGCTTTAGATTTTTTGTTTTTTTAAATATATATTAAAATCATTTGGTGTATGTGGGATTTTTAAATTGACCAACCAAAACTAGAGTTTTTTTCTTTTATGTATATACATGTACATACAGACCCATGCAGGCATATTATATATATATATATATATATATATGTATGTAAAGTGCTGTTCAATATAAGTGACACACCTGATTTTTTTTACTAAATGTTCTCTTCTCCGATGAAACGAAAGTTGAGCTAAATTCAAAGGATAAGCAACTCCAAATCTGAAGAAGAAGCTTTGAAAGCTCTTTGAATTTAGCGGTAAGTACTGTCAAGCATCCGTTCAGTATAATGTTCTGGGGATGCTTTTCTTTTCATGGAACTGGTTTCTTAAAACCTATTGAAAAGACCCTCAAGAGTGAGCAGTACATGAGAATTTGAGAGTCTTGTCTGCTCCCTTCTGCTGTTAGGGTGAAAATGGACCCCACCAAGCTCATTTTTATGCAGGATAATGCTCCCTGTCACAAATCAAAATTGATGAAGGAATACTTTGATGAGAAGCAGGTGAGTGTTATGACATGGCCGCCCCAATCTCCTGACCTCAACCCCATAGAAAACTTATGGAGCATTATAAAGTACAGGCTCTCGAGAAAGCAGTTGAGCAACAAAGAGGATTTGATTATGAATTTCATATCCGAATGGAATTCAATGCTTGGAGATGAGATTTGCCAGAACCTAATCAAGTCAATGCCAAAAAGAGTTGAAAAGGTTATTCAAAATAAAGGAGGACCCATAGATTATTAAATATTTCGCACTATATTACCTATTATAAATAAATTATACCTCTATTATTCTTTATTTAAAGCTGTTCAGTTATGTTTCTATTGGTTACTAGTTGTAGGAAATAAGTGAGTCACTTTTTTTGCATTGAGTTTTACCCTAAATCTCATTTATATCCAAAATTATAATTATCAATAGAATACCTTAGGGTGAGTAAACTTTTTTACTAGGTGGTCGGGAAGAAAAATTAGTTTGACCCCAAAAACAATAGGCGAAAAAATTTTTAAGTAAAAAATCAGATGAGTCACTTTTATTGAACAGCACTATATATATATATATATATATATATATATATATATATATACATACATACATGAGTCATTTTTTTTTGTTTGTGAGTTTTTTCTGATATTATGGGTTGCACTGAAATGCCAGGTTTGTCTACTAATATATATTTTAGATCCATTGAGGTCTGTAGATTTTTTAAATCAGCAGACTCTAAATAGATTGTCTACTATATTGTGCTATTATTGTCTTTGTGATGATCAGTGAAATAACATATAACCCCGGGTCTTAGATCTACTACTGTTGAGAGCTTTGAGATTAACATACTCTCAATGCATTTTTCCTTCTAAGTGAATTCTCTTCTCTTCTGATCAGACTGGCATTTTTTTTTTTAAAGTCAAAACTTTGGTCAGATGTATTACAGTTAACTAACGGTGCATTTAGATTGTTGTTATGCAGAATATCTCTGCAGTGTTCATATCATCTTTTTTTTTTTTTTGAGGTTTCTAGGTGTTTTACCATGTGTTGTCTATTTAGTATATTCCTGCCTTTGTTCTGTATTGTTGCTATCTTGTTTGATGCAAACTATATCTCTTATTGTTTTAGAGAGAGTCTTGATGAATTTTATGCCTAAGTTGGACAAGTGTTCTTCAAAGGTAGCTGTTGTTACAGAGTTGGTAGGTAGGATTATGTGTCTACTATTGTTATGGTTGTCGGGATTATTATTATTTGTGGGGTTTTGTATTTTTTGTATTTTTCCTATGTTGATTTTGTAGGCTTTGCATTTGACATTGTGCAGGAAATAATTTGGATATTAGAGGAGTCTGAATGGGGTTTTCAATGTATTTATCTTCTTCGGGCAGGAATTAGGGCACCAGATTTTAAGGACTATTAAATAAAATTACTCTGGATTTAATTTTATTGTTGTGATGGGAGTAAAAGTGTAACGGATCATTATTATTTGTTGGTTTTCAATAAACCTTCAGTTGAATATCCTTGTGTGTCCATATTAACATGATATTGAGATATGGTAAAATGTAGTTTGCTTTGATTTTATAAGTGAAGAGTTTTTTCTATTTTCAAAGTCATTAAGTAGAAATTTTGTAATAAAATGGCAGAGTTGTTCTCAGAGCGATACTACCATTGTCTTTGGGCTTTGATCACTGTAACTTAAAACTTAAGCATTTGGAGTTATCATTAATCATCAACTGAAGCAAAATCAATAAAAGAAATTTTAATGAAAACTCAACATTGTAATTGTGTGTTGAATGTGTACTTGGAGACAATGGAAACTGATCAGTAATAAATAAGAACTAGATGGCAAATTCCTAGACATGGACAGGGGAATGAGAACAATTTACACCCATTGATTAAATAAAGGGTTCAGTTTAAAATTCACTGAAGGTCATCTGGATCAAAGGTTGAAGGGTACAATGGCTGAAACATTGTGATAACAACCACAAAGATAGCCACAATAGGCTATATGTAAATAATCAAATTTATCCTTTGTAGCCATTGTAAAAAATCTGACAAACACCCAAGTAAATAAATTAGTAACTTGTTTCTTGGTTTAAAAAAAAAAAAAAAAAAAAATCAAATCTGAAAATTATTCAATTACAAACATTAATTCTAATATGCACAGCATCAAATTCCATAAAGAAATATGATTTTAATATAATACACTGGTACATTGACTAGAACCAACTCCACCAACATGCATGTCAGTTATATCTAAGCAAAAGAAATCAACATCTTGAACAAATATTGGTGACTGTAGACCTGTTTATTGAATGTGAACATCCAAACTTTATTTGCTCTCCATATCATTATGGTTTGTTTTATTTAGATATTTTTACACCTAGATTAAGCAAGAAAGTAAAACAAAAACTTCCTCATACATACCTTTCTCGAAGAAATTCAATAAATTCCTTGCTAGCTGTCTGGCCCTGTTTCATGTTATGGTAGAGAACAAAAAAGCCATTGTTCTTCTCGCCCTAGAAAAGTAAAAGTGAAACACTACTGATCATAGTGAACACTAACAATATACTTACATCAACCCAACAAAATACTGTTGGGCCATAACAATCATTCCAATTCCTACTCGTACATTCCTCCCTTCCTATGACAGGTGGTATGAACCTTCTGGGAAACATTCCCTGGCCATAACTACACCATAATCAGTTCATTCCAGCATTTCTAAATATCTATCAACTATTAGGTTGGTGCAAAAATAATTTCGTTTTCTTACATAGTAACATATGTTAGAAAACGAAATTATTTTTGCACCAACCTAATAATATAAGCAACAACAAAGGCCTTCACCTCTAAAGACTTACTACAATACTACCGCAGTCAAAGCCAAGGAGAATTACTTTTTTTGCAAAAGACACAAGGATTTTCCTCTCTTTTGTAACAAAAGTGTTCCACTTAAAAAAAAAAAAAAAAAAAACAAATGAAAATGATGCCCAATATAAAAAGGTAAATCCTTAAAAAAAATAAAAAAATAAAAAAATAAAAAAAAATCTTTAATTTCTCAACCTGTATATTTTCATGGAGATGTCAGGAAGCAGCCATAAACAATTTGGACAAGCCTTTTCTATTGTACACTTACAGCAAGACAACTATTTGTAATAGAAATACTCAAGTGGCATAAAACTATATTATCAAGTAGATGAAAAAACCACTTCAAATACTTTTGTTTTACATACTGGGAAAGTCTCCTAATAAAATTGACTTACAACATTGAAATATACACATTGAGAGAGAATGGGTCTATAAATGAGACCAATTTTGCAATACTCGAGGGTCTTTGTAGTAGAGGAGGCTGGTACAAAAGAAAACTAACTTTTTTTTTTTTTTTTTTACAGTAAGGTTCACAAGGCCTGGCAGGCACTCAAGGTAGAGGGTTACATTAAGAGGCAGTTTATATGGATAGGAGAGGAAGTAACTCTAGATTGAACAGGTTAAGATTCTAGCGATTGGGGAAACATCCCCTTGCAAGTTGGTTCTACAGAGAAGTAGGTCATGGGAAGAAACTGTTCAAGTGGAACTTACTGCTCACTGATAGAATACAGAAGAAATATGGGTGGTTTGCTATTATAATGGCATGCCAAGTCCTAACCATGAAAGTTAGAAATGGTGAAACCAAGGAATATAGTTCATCCAAGCACTTTCCAAGTAACAATAGAGCAATGAGAGGCTTGCCACATCCTGCATGTGAGAGAGAGTGAGGTTGGAGGATGTAAAATGATTTGTCACCCACAAGGACTCTGAGATGCTTTTGGACTATCAAGTCCAGAAAGTGAAGACTGAGCAGTTACTGCCCAAATATGACAATAGTACTCCATGTTAGACATGATCTGGCTCTCATAAATTTTGCTCATACAAAGCGTTTCCTCTTCATAGGTTTATGGTTAACAAAACAGTTGCCCATTAATTGTGAATAATGAGCTTCATCCTTCAGGGGATGCTCCACAACAACAGCCTTATGCCAAACTAAGCTAATATAGATTTTCACTTAAATATATCTTGAGTTTACATTAAGTTGGTTTTTGTTGTATGTTTTGTTGTATAAATTTTAGTTCCTCATTTTCTTGAAAAAGTAGTCAGAATTGAACAATTGGGATTCTCTATTACTATCTTTTGTATGTTGTTCATACAAACCATCTTTACATAGGGATTTCTAAGTAATATTTAATAAAAGACACCCAAATATATTTGTTGGTCACCTGTATCATTGGCAAATAATAGACATCAAATAAAGTTATCAACATCATTTCTTCTAAGCCTCTCTATTCAAAAAAGTTCACTAACTAGATCACAATTAGAGGAAAGACTTACAATTTATAGCAACTCTGATCTTCTCTATAGTAATGCAGCAATAAGTTTACTTTTTTTTTTAAGGGGGGTATTTCTAGGATGAGGGGTTATTATTTACACTATTTATATTCAGACTATTATCCTTATCTTTGTTGTTGTTTTTACAAGACAATGGCCTAGTGGATAAAATTGCTGGTTTGTGAGTTTGGTGACATAATGGTTGTGAGTTCAATCCCTGGGTCAGGCAATGTGTTCTTGCACTTATTAGAAACGAGAGAGCAATAATTGAACAGACCTATATAAAATAAGAACTAGATGATATCTCTAGATATGAGTAGTGGAATGAGAACAGTTTACCCTTGTAGATTAAATAAAGGGTCCAGTTCAGAATTCCCTGTAGGTTACCCAGATTGATATACACCTGGTGAAGACTGGAAGGAGCAACAGCCAAAATGTTTGTTCAAACAAAATGAACAGAGGCTAACTTTATTTCTAATTCTTTTCCAATCTTTTCAGAACTAAATAAAATTTTCTACTCGTGCCATACTAAGGCAGAAATTATGCAAAAAATACTTCTAAAATTAGTTAAGGTTGTTATCTTTTATGAACACCTCCCTCCCCTCTTATCAATTGCACAATGTTTTCATTTGCATATGGAAGGCAACAACTATTTGATAACATACTTTTGCCAATGCAGAGCAGAAAGAGAAACAGACAATGTCTGCCAGAATGATAAAGGCATAAAAGATTACAACTTATGATTCTCAAAAGAATCAGTTTACAATAGCAGAACAGCTTGCTCCTAACATCTTTCTTCACACAACAAACTTAAATCTAGAGAATTTGTAAACAGTGTCATTTTTTTTCTACTCATAAATCTGTACAACAGTCTTTATACTATCAAGAATCACATTAACTGCATTGAAAATAGCTGAAGTCATTTTCTGATGCCACTATGTTATTAACCAAAATCTGAACATGAACTTGTCGATATTTGACATTCAATTTAGGACATCATTTTAAGAATTCTGGGACAAATGTTTTTCTTTCAATCTTTATATATAATTTATTAATATTCTGCAACAAAAATAAAGATAAATAAAAAGACTGATAACTTTATAAAAACAATCCTTCCGAGTCCATGTGCATGAATTTTTAATAAATGACAGAATATTATAAAAGAATTTTGCTGAGGTTCATGTTAATGTCAACTATTGCAACTCTTTCTTCTGACAAACGGGATACAAGCCTCTTTGCTGATCCTTACAAACCTAACACTCATAGGTAGGAACTTTGGCTGAAGAAAAGTTACTGGAGATTTCCACATGAATAAATTGATGAATACAAACATCAAAACTATTTTTACAATTTTTATAGAGATTAATATATATTCATTTTTTATGCAATGGAAAAACACACCAAGTTTATCAGCAATTCCTAAGCCAAGAGGATGCTGATAAGTTCTCAACCCAACCAAGAAAGGATTAAAGAAATTAAAGAAAAAAACATGCACTTCTGATATTTGGTCAGACTTTGAGAAATAGGTCAGCCAAGAAGATTTCAGCACCCCATCATAAGTTCAAGCATTACTAATTGCTTTAGTAACATTGGATTAGAGATTTTGGACAAATTGGTGGCAGAACTTCTGGTTATTCTACAGATTTATAATCACCAAATTTAACAAAGGAAAATTATTCTGCTCTCAAGCCTCAATCTTTGTAAATCAGTAACAAAAATGGCATCAGGAGTTACCCTCAATGACAAGAGGGGCATCGGGAGTTACCCTTATGAATTGAACAATGGGAAATTCAGGAATCAAAAATACAAAGAGATTGGCTTTCTAAATCTGCTTTCCTAAATGTAATCACATCTCCAGCCTGCTCAAGAGGAATATCAACAATTACATTCAGTCTATGTTAATTCCCTTTCAAAATTTACCTGATAGAAAAACTCACTCTCTTTGTTGTCATTCAATGTAAATGTGTGTGGGGGGGTCAACAAAACATACAAAAGAGTTCAAACCTCATGTTGGTAAATAAAGTGTTTTTGTGATAAAATCTGCTCATTTCTACAGACTTTCCATTTTCTACTTTGGAAGATGTTCTTATGACACTTGAAGGAATCAAAGTCATAACTGACATCATTCTAACAATTCTTCAAATGCAATATATTACATAGAAAATTACCAAACCATGTCAACCAAGTCAAATGACAAAACAAAATCTCTTAATTACTAAAATCAATTAAGAATTGTATTTACAGTTTGTTTTTTGTTTACCTTCTCTTGTGCAACACAGCCAATCAAGTGTGAAACAAGACCCCTGGGGGAGTGACAATAAAAAAAGAGTATAAAGTATTTCCTAGTCAGATTACACCAAACAAATTGTCCTTTTGTGGTGAAATGAGAATGTTTTTTTTTTTTAATTTTCCATCTCAAACACAAGATTGAAACTTAACACTTGACCAAATCTTTTTTTAGCTTTAATTTCACCCCAACTTTTTTTACTAAATAACAAAAGCTTCTATATTTTTCAACATTTTACCATTGACATAATGGTATTATCTTCCATGTTGTTGTCTATTGCAAAAAGGTCAATTGCTTTCAGGCATTATAATGACAATGATAAGAATGGACGGACAATAAATAATTAAATATACAACACCTAAAAAGCAGTGGATGGGATAATATTAAAAACAAAAATAAAAAATCCAAGAGAGTTTTAGGTTTAAGGAAGAAATCCAGGACAGAAAAAGACTTAAAAGAATTACAAATTCTATCAGGAGTTACAATTTTTCACAATTTTTCTATCAGGAGTTACAATTTTTTCACAATAGCAAATTCTATCAGGAGTTACAATTTTTTCACAATAGCTACAAATAAATTCTATCAGGAGTTACAATTTTTCACAATAGCTACAACAAATTCTATCAGGAGTTACAATTTTTCACAATAGCTACAACAAATTCTATCAGGAGTTACAATTTTTCACAATAGCTACAACAAATTCTATCAGGAGTTACAATTTTTCACAATAGCTACAACAAATTCTATCAGGAGTTACAATTTTTCACAATAGCTACAAACAAATTCTATCAGGAGTTACAATTTTTCACAATAGCTACAAATAAATTCTATCAGGAGTTACAATTTTCACAATAGCTACAACAAATTCTATCAGGAGTTACAATTTTTCACAATAGCTACAACAAATTCTATCAGGAGTTACAATTTTTCACAATAGCTACAACAAATTCTATCAGGAGTTACAATTTTTCACAATAGCTACAACAAATTCTATCAGGAGTTACAATTTTTCACAATAGCTACAACAAATTCTATCAGGAGTTACAATTTTTCACAATTAATTCATACAATCATGTAAGGATTTTCATATAAATGTTAAAAAAAAAAAAAAATTAAATCACTTCCCCTTTAGAAATTAAAAGTAAATGTATGATAACAGTCTTTGTATAAAACAAAAAAATATCCCAGTTTATGCATCGCACACCACTTGTTACTGGTTTAAGATTTTCTTCTTCTTTACAGAAAACTTATTCATAAAAGTCCTTATTCGATGATTTATCAACTAAGTTTATTTCCTAGGGAGGTGAAGAGCGCTTCCCAAATACAGTGTAACCCGGATATAAGAGAGATTTTCTCTGGTCCCAAATTAGAGCCTGTGTTAATGTATAATAGACCAAACCCGGATATAAGAGACTTCTTCTCCGGTCCCGACAACTCTTATATCCGGGTTACACTGTAGTTGACAAAATCGTCCAGAAACAGCATAACTAACAAAAAGGTCAAGATGAATTAAAAATAGTTTCACAAAATATGGCACAATTAATATATGCGTCTTTATTCCGTGAGGAACCCAGATATTTTTGTTTGTTTTGTTTGTATAACAATTGGGATGGAAGAGCGAGTTGAAAAGTTGGGAGAGAAAGAGCAGAATTAAAAATGATCTTGCAAAGAGAGCAGGTCGGAGTTGTTTTTAAGTGGATGATAGTGTGTAATAATGTAAGTCTGTAGCAGCGTGACACCGGGAGGACCTACCACACAAGACCAGGGCGTGGGTGACACTAACAAGAGCATGCACTTATAAACTAGCAGTAATAGGTGATGTCTCTTATTACAGGGACAGCACTACCAGTTGGATGGTAGTGGTAGGAAGTATGCAGCATGTAAACTTAACTAGAGTTGACAAGTTTGGAAATCAGGACGAAGAGGAAAAAGAAAGAACGTATATAGCCAGTCACCAGATTTGGAAAAAGAACGAACGACACAAAAAGTGTCATTTTTAATTTTAAATTTTATAAAATAATTTCAGAATGATATATAATTCAAATTGTAATTTTAACCTACAAGAAACAATTTCAAGAGGTCTATCTTTTTAAACTATTGTTTTTTTTATTTTTTAATATTAAAAAATATAAAGATCTTAAACAAAAATGTGAAATATTTTAATCACTGAAAAATGAATAGAAAGTAGGGTGAAAAAGTTAAATGCTAACAAACTCGAATGTTTTTTTATCAGTTGAGCCACACCCAACATCCTTTCTTCCTTCATCACTATTGTGTTGTTGCTGTGGCAATCTACAATAATAGCAATGAAACTGCAAGTTTATCAATCATAACTTAAACCTTATTAATGAGACAGAAATGACACTTGTTACCTTGTAAATCAATACCCCCAATCTTTAAAACCTTTTTTTTTTCTTTTTTTACAGGTTTAATCACAAACTACTAAGTTTAATAAAGGGCCAAGACAAAAAGAAAAAAAAAGCGCCCACCCCTTCAGTATCCATGGTAATCATTGCAGCCTCACAAAAAAATAACGTTTGATTGTTGTAAAAAGTCATTTCAGAAATGATTCAGGGCTTTTTATTTAGAAAAGATAGTCTTCTTGCGCAACAATTTGTTCGTTTTTTAGGGTTTTTTTTCAAAATCTTAAATCTTTTTAAAAAGTGAAATGTTAACTTAATAATATTGTCCCATCCACTGTTCCAGTAATTTGTAATTATCTTCATTTTTTATATTCTACATCTATTTTTAAAATAACCAAAATTAAAATTCATCCCAGAATGGAATATAAAAAAATTTCTTCCGTTCGAAAAGTTAAAAATTAATGTTTTTATTTTTTTAAGTCAAACCGATTTTTTTTTTTTTTAAAAATTGACAAAAAGATTTAAAAAAAAAAAAAAAAAAAAAACTTCCAAGGCATTAAGACTGTTTGAAAGGAAAGAAGAATACAATCAACAATTTCAAAGAAGAAACAGATCAGGTGATTATTTACTCAATCCTAAGGACGAAAATTCCATAAAAAAATGAATTCTTCACCAGGGTAGGTACTATGGCTCATTATGTAGACGAAGATTTTTTTTTTAAGGGGCCGGGGGTGAAAATATAAGGAAAACATTATTATTGTTGTCATCCTGCATGTAAAATCCGCAAAATCTTGACTTGACAAAATAAAAGTTTTATAATTCATGTGGAAGATAGGTTGTCTAGATTTTCATCTAATTCCCTGATCTTTATTCTTTGAATGGTAACTAGTTGTTTTTTTTTTTTTGGGGGGGTATCGGTTAATCAATTTCCTTGATTACAACTAATTAAAGTCTTTTATTTTAGTTTCTGCCACAACGCAGAGAATTGTTTTGAGGTCACGAAAAAAACTGCTTAAAAAACTAACCATTGTTAGAAAAGAAATTCTTTAAATTTTAAAAAGATAGGATTTTTAAAGCAACTTTTTAAAAGTTAGTAGATAACAAAAATTGCGTAAGAATGTCTTTCGGTTTGACTTAAAAGACAAATAAGAAAGTTTATCGAAACTCGAAAGAATCGCAGCACTTGACTTAGATTTCCGTTTATTTTTCAAATCAGTTTAAAAATGTTTGATTTCTTCTACAACCTTGATGATTTTTATTAATATCCAGTGTTACAAACAACATACCTTGTTGAAACGAAACAAAGAATTATACAATTACATTTTTTTTCATACAAATAAAAATCATGAGTAAAACTAAAAACAAAAAAAAACAGGTTTTCCAAGATTTATTTACAGCTAAACTACGATCACCAACAATAAACATTTTTTTAGTTAATTTATTGGATTCCTAAGAAACTGCAAAAAATAGAATTTGCAAAAATGAAACCAAACTTTTGTTTTTGTTATTTTAAGCGCTTTTAAAAGATTTTGAAATCGTTTTTTAAGGTGGAAAATGATTCTTTTATTTAGAGAAAAAATTTTTTAAAAATCTCTTCAAGTTAAACCAGATACTTTTTCATTTCCAAGACAATTAGGAAAAAAAATAAAAATATCACTGTTCATCGGGATGGAGTTGTGTCATGTCACGAGACCGTTTTTTGCCTTTTTTACTGAATTTCTTTCACTTTACAAGTGATTTTCAAAATTACTATCAGTTATTTTTTTTTTTAAATTACTTGTATTTTTCAATATCTATTTTCCAATAATAACCTCACTAGGAGGTTTTCACTGTTAGTCAAACAAAAGTTTTATATTTTAAGATTTAAAAGAGTCTTCCTCGGTATGACACGATCCAAACAAGATTGTAGATTTAAAATTCTGAGACTAAGAAAAAATTCACAATGGTTAAGAAGACAAATCAGAAGCAAAGAAAACATATTTAGGTTAATTTAACAAAAAAGAAAAAAGATGAAGTTTTATTAAAAACTCCGGTCATACGTGAATTAAGTTCAATATTTTGGTATTTTTCTTTACATATTTAAAAAAAGACAGCTTAATACTAAAACTTAAACGTCATCAATATTTTGAAAAGCAACGGGTGAATCTTAAAATTATGTCGAAATAGCTACCAGCAGTTTTTTAATACATGGTGAGGTTGTCATTACAAAGAAAATGAATAAATAAGGATAATTTTAATAATAATAACAACACAAAAACAGGCTACACCCATCTCTTGACACATACAGCACACATGCTTTACAACAAGCAAGACACGCGCGATTAACAACTTAAAAATATTCCTGATGGATTGGTATAGACTGTCAACACTTCCGAATCCGATTAAATAAGTACTTACCCAAAAATTGTCGGCAAACGAAGTCATTATTGACATTTCTTCCACATTTTACAAGAAAATGGCGAGATATCCGAACTAACGGCCCCACTACGCATGTGCGTACAAATCTCGCCGATTCACACGTGGCTTTGTGCTGGGCGGCGTGACTTGGCCCGTAGCAGCTGACAAGACTTGATTTTCTTCTTCTTCTTCAACAGCTGGAAGCTTTATGGTTCGATACCTATTCTTAAAGGTACAACAGAAATAAATAAGTAAATAACACCCTGTGAACCTTTACAATAATATTTTCAATGGAAGATGATTGTGAGCCTCTTTCTTTTCATTGCATAAACCCTAAACTAGTTTAGTTTTTACAACTATTTATTATTTTGTTGTTGATTTCGACTCCATGCTGAAAATCGCGTGATCCACCTTATTCTCCCCTTATAAAAAGTATTTGAAAGTGGGTTTATAAAGATTTAGTCAATCCCTAGTTAGTCATTAGGGTCAAATAGAAGTAAATAAGTTAATACAGGTAGTTGCATGTCAGATTAACAGGTCAGGCTCTCTTTTTCCTTTTCTTTTTTTAATCAGCTGATCTGATCTTGACTTAAGAGAAACAAAGACACATTGTCATTTCCGATGTGCAAACAATTGATATCCTTGTAAAATCCACAATACAACGATTGTTACTATAACATGAATTATTGACCATACCTAAAAAAGAAAGTAAACTTCAATAAAATTTCCTTTAAAACATCTAAAAAAAAAAAAAAAGCAAAGGTTTTTTATAGTTTGCACTATTTTTTTTTTTTCATCATTTTTGTTGTCACGCCATTCTAATGAAAATTATGAAAATCAACAATATCCTTTAGTGTTCTTTTCCTAGACATGGTATAAAATGATTTTAAGAAACTAAATGTATTACTTATATGTGTTTGTATATGTTTTAAAGGTGCAACATTGATAAATATTTCCTATTTGTTTTTTATCATACCATGTTTGTATATATATATATATATACATATATATATGTTTGAATAAAAACAGACCGGTTCCATGTAATAAGCTCTGAATTTTACATTGAGCTCTCCGGATATCATCCTCCCATGTGGATTACCTAATTTTGCATAAACTAAAAATATATATATATATATATATATATATATATATATATATATATATATATATATATATATATATATATATATATATATATATATATATATATATTATAAATTTACTAATTTGAAAATATGATCCCATCGCTACACAAAGAATTACCATGTTTCAAAAACAGAAACTAAAAACTTCAAATTCTATTATAGAATTAAATTAAAGTCCCTAGTCCTGTTTCATTTCCAAGCGAATTTTGTAATAACTTATTTTGTAACTTACTGAGTTTTATAAGCACATACATTCATAATATTAGTTTCTAAGGATATGGGGAAATTCAATCATTTTGACAAAGGATGGTAGGGTATTCATTTTCACTGACAATTATTGTATCAAAATATGAGTTACTTTCGAAAAGAGGTTAAGTTAATGTAGGGTAGTGGTGCCTGTTCAACAAATGATGACATCCGTTTTTTGCAGGTTGTCTGGTCTTTATCAACGACAAAATGTTTTTCAGCACTTTTGTTTTCTAAATACAATCCATACATTCAGTTAAAAGTAAAAATAAAATTCATCCTTGATAATGGCTAAAAGTATAGTGCACTCAGACATATAAAACATTTGGACAATTTTTATATAATTTACATCCAGAAAAGAAAAACATATAAAGAACACATAAAAAATTTTATAAAGAAACTTAACCACATCACCTTGACAGTTGTTTTTAATAAAACTTGCATATATAGAGGGTGCTATGGATAAATTGTCATTTAAATTACACAAAAAGGAAAATATCAACTGACATCTTATTTTAACAGATATATTTAGCAAAATTACACAAAAATATATTGAAATACTAAAGAGTACATTTATTTAATAAAATTGACATTGGTTTCAACCACAGACTCCAGATGACTTTTTGGATCTCCTGCAACTCTTCTGGATGGTCTCCTTGTTTAAGTTAGTGAATGCTGCTATAATCCTTGCTTTCAGTTCATCTTTGGTGTTACATAATAATAATAAGTTGCAGTCTAGGAAGTTAGGTGACCAGATGTAAGGGCTGATGAGGTCACAGAAATTGTCTGACAGCTGTGACTGGGTCCTCCTGCTTGTGTGACATGGTAAAGAGGCATATTGCCAGAAACAGGGTTTTCCAACATCCACCCTCTTGACCCAGGGTAGCACTAACTCCACAAGGCACATCAGGAGTTCTTTTCTTATCAGAACAATCAGATTGAGTTTTCAAAGCTGACATACTTTCGTAATCACCATTAGAATCATCCAATTCTTTCTGAGTTCTCTGCACTGTCCTCAGATTGACATTGTATGGTAGCTTTCAGTGAGAATACCAAACAATATAGCATGCTGTTTCCAAATTTCTGGAGGAGTGAATTACATCATGGTGCTCTTTTTCTCACAGATGATGCCCAACTGACCCGACTATACTCTGCAGTCAACAAAATCAAAACCAAACAAGGCACATACATGAAATTAAAAATATAAAATGGTGACAATTTACCTATCGTTCCCTGTACATATATATATATGTGTGTACATGTGTTAAAATTTTCTATATTTATAAAGAAAGAGAGCTTAATATTTAAGATAAAGTGATCTATCTTGGCATGAACATCACATTGATGTGTGAAACTGGCTGCCACCATACAGTTGTGATCCCTGTGTCCTCTCTTTGTTTCTCTCTCTCCCTCTCTCACAATATATATATATATATATATATATATATATATATAATTATTTATTTAAAAATATGATTCCTTGCTACACAAGAATTACCATGTTTCAAAACAAGAGCCAAAAACTTCAATATAATTATTTAAATTAAATTGAATTAAAGTACCAAGCTCTGTTCCATCTTCAAGCAAAATTTTTGGAATAACTAATTCTTGAAATTTACACGTTTTTATAAGCATATTCATTATTAAAATTAAAATTTTTGGCTCTTGTTTTGAAACGTGAGAACTCTTATGTAGCGAAGGAATCATATTTTTAAATAGATAATTATATTTAGGCTCTACTTTTGTATCGAGCACTGTTTTTTTAAAAAATAATAACAAAAATACTAAAGAACTTTGGATTATTTACCTAACGAGTCCTTTCCTATTTTCTATATATTTTCACACACACACACACACACACACACACACACACACACACACACACATATATATATATATATATATATAAAATGATTAATTTAAATATAATATATTAAATAATATGTTTGAGTGGTTAGACTGTTTGCTTTCAACCATGAGACCAATTGGTCAATTTGTCAGGAAGTTGACTTTTTGATGTTATCAGTCTGGGTAGGTAATCCGAGCATGCAGAAATTTTGGGAAGGGTTTGCAGACCATACTATAGGTTAAACTGAGCCTTGTGAGTAAAATTAAGAACAGTTCAGAAGCTATGGATGGCTATGCGAGCATAAAGTCACAAGTCACTTTGATCAAGGATAAACTCATTGTAACGATATATAAATTTTTTATATATCAAGAACAATATTCAAGGTAAAATGTATAACAAAATGGAAAAAAGTTTTCATGTGATGTAATAAACTCAGTCCCATGAAGTCCTAAAGTCTCACTTTTCCCTATATATATATACATATATATATATATATAATTATTTATTTAAAAATATGATCCCTTCGCTACATAAGAGTTCTCATATTTCAAAACAAGAGCTGAAAACTTCAATATAATTATTAGAATTAAATTGAATTAAAGTGCCAAACTCTGTTCCATCTTCAAGCAAAATTTTTGAAATAACTAATTCTTGAAATTTAAGCATTTTTATAAGCATATTCATTATTAAAATTAAAATTACTCTGGTAACGGCTAGAGCAATTATTTAAAAAAGGGGCATAAGGGTTAATAATTTGTATCAATATCTCAGTTACATTCAAAGAGGTCAAGTCAGGGTAGGGTTGGGGGTGTCTAAATTTAAAGTGCAAGATGACATCATCTAGTCTGGTTAACCATTAAGTGTCTATGGTGATTTATTTATTTTTTTATTTTATTTTCTTTCCTGAAAGGGTTTTTTGTGTATATAAAACTGTCATAATTAGCTAACATTTGTTTTTTTGACGACTTCATAAAGGGTTTTTTTTTTTTTTTGTTATATATGATTGGGTAGAGCTTTTAAACCTTTTATTTAGACTATTGAGTTTAAAATTTGTATTTATTATTTAATTGTTTGTTTGTTTTTTATGCTAATTATTTAATGCAAAAATTTCATGATGTCGGCAAAAGACCGTTAAGTCATGTCTATTGTTTAATAAATTTTCATTATTTAGAAACTTGATGTTTACGAGTTTTCTTAACGAGTTCTTTCCTATTTTCTATATATTTACCACACACACACACAAATATATATATATATATATATACACACACACACACACACACACACACACACACACACACCCTTGTGTAAATTAATTGAAACAACCACTTTAGTTTCCTTTCTTTCACCATACAGTCAGTTTTAGATCGACTGGAGTGACAGAGTATAATCTATTTCTATTTTTTCCTCAGATTACGTCATTTGCAGTGGTGTGCTGTAATATGAATCCATTTTGGGGGTGTGTGATGAAATTTATTTGCCTTTGAAAAATATTGTGGCATCTGTGATTATATCAGATTTTCATCACGCCCAGACACTATTCTCTTGACTGTCGATTAGTTGTTCTACAGGCATTGTCTGCAATAGACATTACTCCAAGGAAATGTACAACAATTGTAATGCTGCAAGAACACATTGGCATGCCTTACTAGTGAGCAAATCAAAGTACTATAGACTGAGCCAAAAACTTTCTAGATTTAAATCCAATCGAGAATCTGTGGTCAATCTGCAAGGAATGATTTTGTGAAATGGACATAAAATGTACTAACATAACATGTGCACTGGGTCATGTTTCA